ACAGGCCCCAGGGCTGACGAAGTTGCTCATCTTCTCCACCAAGGTTCAGACCGACAGTCTCTGCCTCCCCACCTTGGAAAGGAATATTGTCCCTCTCAGAGTTCATTGAAGGCCTGGCATAATTTTAATACAAGTAACAACATTCTCCAGCCCCCAAAGTAAGACAGGTTAAAATGAAGCAGGTCTCCATCCCCACTCTAGGTTGCCTACCCAAGAGTCAGCTTCAGCACCTATTTCATTTCTCAGTTCCTTTTCCCCTATTCCAGGGCCCCACCCTTCAGGCCATGTACGTCACTGTTAACAGGCCCTCTTCTTCAAGTCCTGTACACCTATTCCAGTGGCTCCACACCTTGGCCACCTCCATGCTTGTTGCAACTCTTCTCCCACACAGCCCTCAACTCAGGGCTTCTGCAGGCTGGCTCCCTGCAGTGTTCCACTCCCCAGACCCCCTTCACCGACACCTACAAATGTTACCTCTGCTGAACATCGTCTCATGGGAACCTCCCTCCAGAATCCATCTTCCTTTACTGGGCTCAGCCTACCCTGACTGAGCTGGGTCTCCCCCTTTGCTTATGGGCCTCTGTCTGAGCTGTCTACTCAGCAGGTTCCCCAGCTCTGGCCAGTGCTTACCCACAGCATGCTCTCTGCATTGGCTGACTGCTCTCTCAAGTCTCACACAGCTCCTTGCCACTCCTTCCTACTCCCCCCGCCTCCTCCCCCCCCCCACACACATACTTTTTTTTTTCCTGGTGGAGCAGATTTGACTGGATAGTCTATTGTCACCACCAGTTATACCTCTTAACTACATAGCAGTTTATATTCTCTCATTGTGCTAAGAAAAGAGAGACGTGTGCTGAGGAGCCAATCTGGAAAAAGACTAGGAGATCTCGCCTCTTCTCTGTGCATGTGTAAATGGCGATGGCTATTAGCATTAGTGATACTAATGCTTATATGTTCATACTGCAGAGAGAGCAGACCTCCAAGCTAAAGTACATGAATGTTATAGATGCCAGGATAAACAGACAGGTGCGAAGGGGGGATATGGGGACAATGATGTCATGGAGTGTTGAAGAGATGGATGCACGTACAGGGATAAAGCAGAAGGGGATAAAGGAGATGGAAAACTGTAGAAATCTAGCAGTTTATTATTGCCAATCAGACAACTAATGGAAAGGAATGTCACTGATATGTTAACAGTGGAAGAATTAAAACACATCCAATCCCAGGCTCACTGACATTTAAGAAGGAGAAAAAGACAATTGTAGATTTAGGTTTTGCAGCCTGAAACTGGTTTTCTCAGGCTATAGGAGAAATAAAGACCTGGTTTATATTTAGCAGTAAACACATTGCTCCCTCAGGGCAAACATGCTGTGTGTTAGTCTCAGGTGACTGATGCATAAGTGCCAACACTGGCTAGGATTCAGTGCAGCGGTGAATCACTGCAGAGCAAGAGAACCACAAACAGGTCTGGTATGATGCACGGGAACAGATTGTAACAGAAATAATTATCTTCAGCTCAAATTTCAGGCCTGTAAAAATATATCTCGACAAGCCGTGGATGTGCATGGATTGGAAGATGTGTTCTTGTTATGAAGAAAGGGATTGTACTGTACAGAAATCACTGACAGTGAGATAGCACATAGAGTCCTAGGACAGGAGGAACATTGGCCCATTTCCATCCACTCTGCTTGGCACTGGTTTCCCTTCTCTGCAGGGAAGAGAGGAGAAAATTTCAACACACATTTACTTCCCTCCCCTTCCCTCCGGCTTCAGTGGCTACACTGGGTTTGGAAGTGACTCACAGAATCATACAAATGTAGGGCTGGAAGGGACCTTGAGAGGTTCCAACAGTGCTTCATGCCGTGGGCCAGAGCCGCAAGTGATGTAAATTGGTATCACTCCATTGATTACGGTGGAGCTACACTGATTTCCACCAGCCAAGGAGCTGGCTCACTGTCTCTAGTGAGACTGACTCAGTGCAATTCTTACAGCAGCAACAAATGCTCTTCAGACCTGAATATGGACAGGACAAATACAAATTGCTATAAACCATCTGCATGTGGTTAGTTTAAACAAACCAAGCGGGAAAGATATTGGCAAGGCTTCTGAATAAAGGATTGGATGATATAAGATGAAGTGGGGAAGGGTGGGGTGTGGCGGCTACATCCATAGGGATTAGACGTTCATTGGGAATTTTGACTCAGGTGTACAGTCAAATACATTTGAATCAATGTTACTCTGTCCTGAGGGGGGAACAATAAAAAGAAAGGGCAAAGGTTCGCTGGTGACATCCCAGCGTCTTTTTCTAAACCAACTGTAGCGACTGTAGTGCTAGTGTAACGTGCTGATTGACAGCCCTGGTGACCAATGCCCTAAGCAGTGAGGCAGACTTCCCATGCTGTCCTGGGACTGTGATTCCATCTTAATGATGCCTTGTGTGCTGTCAGCACTCTACAAATAATAAATAATTAATAACTTGGGGGATCCACCCGTAAGAGTGAGAGGGGAGTTCAGACTGCTGGTGCAGCCAACCCTGAGTCTGGTCACGGATACTGATACCAGTTAGCAGGGGCGGCTTTACGGTTTTTGCCGCCCCAAGCACGGCAGTCAGGTGGCTTTCGGCGGCACGCCTGCGGGCAGTCCGCTGGTCACCCGGATTCGGCGGCATGCCTGCATGAAGGCCACCAGTGCCACCCCTTCAGCATCCCCGCCACCGAATTACCGCCGAAGCCGCGGGACTGGCGGACCTCCCGCAGGCCTGCCGCCGAAGGCAGCCTGACTGCTGCCGTCACAGCGACCGGCAGGCTGTCTCCTGTGGCTTGCCGCCCCAGGCACGCGCTTGGTGTGCTGGTGCCTGGAGTCGCCCAGCCAGTTAGTGCCAGCTGAGTGTGTAGTTTTTGTGATATTGCGTGTCAATCCAAGAAGTGGCCTGAGACCAACTCATTGCGTATAGATCACGTGACTCGCCTTCAGCTAGTAATTAGTTATAATCACCTCTAACCTAACCTGAAACTGATTGGTGATCTAATAATGAAAAACTCCATGTAATCTATTAGCAATCCCTTGTATGAAGCAGTCTCTGACATCTCAGTGTTTTACCTGGAAATCATCTAAAGAAACCAGTTCTCTTGGAGGTTGTTCACTTCTGTACAAAAAAAAAATGTCCCAATCATTGTACTTTTTCCACAATTTTCTCCCCCCCCCTTACACCCAGGAATCAATGCAGTTTCAGCACCGCTTCTACAGGCCATGGACTACTTGGACGTGCCAGTGTTGCTCTGGCCACGTAGTGATAGTTACTCTGTCCTGGAACTGTTATTTCTCAGTCAGCCAGACCACAGTTGTGTCCTAGTGCTTACTGTATCCGACTGAGCATCTCTTCCAGGCACTGATCCTGTCCTGGCACTCTCAGAGGCCTTGTCTGTATGGGTTTGAGCAGTTCTAGAGTTCACAGGTTCTGTGAATGAAATGGGGAACTTGTGCTTTATATTTTTTCATTCTACAGTTCCTGAGTGTAATTTCTTCATAATGAACTGAAGAGCTGGTTGATTTTGAAGTGATTTGTCTTAGTTAATTTAAAGAAGGCCACATGTTGACATATTAGAACGCTCCATTCCAGTAACATCACTAAAACAAACTGGCCTGTATGGGCAATTCAGATAATAGGACAGATCCTCAGCTGGTGTAAATTGTCCTCGCTCCATTGACTTCAGTGAAGATATGTCAGTTTACACCAGCTGAGGATCCTGTGCAACATGTCTACAATTACTTCTGCTCTTAGAGCCACAGAACATTTCTCATGACAGATATTAGATCTTCTAAACCAGGGGTTCTCAAACTTCATTGTTCTGCGACTCCATTCTGACAATAAAAGTTACTACACGACCCCAGGATGGGGGACCGAAGCCTGAGCCAAAGCCCGAGCCCCACTGAAAAGTTCCAACACGAAGGTCTGAAACCCTCAGGCGTCAGCCTCGGGTGGTGGGGCTCAGGCTTCGGCCCTAGGCCCCAGCAAGTCTAAGCTAGCCCTGGAGACCCCATTAAAATGGGTCATGACACACTTTGGCGTCCTGACCCATAGTTTGAGAACTGCTGTTCTAAGCCATAAAGTAATAGACTTAATTTCTACTGAGATTGAGACATACTGTCAGTGATCAGGAGGACATTAGATCAACCTAGTGGGCACAAGCTTAGACTACAGGAGCTTTTTATTAACAGGACAAATTGCAAAGCTTCATTAGAGAGAAAGAGAGTCAAGAGAATGTGAACTCTGTAACAAAAGAGAAAATTGAAATACTTCCTAAATCCACTGTCTACTACAAAGAAAACCAAAACTGATTTAGTAAGAGCCAGCGTCTTAAAACATCATTATGGATCTGTCACAGGGTGAGATGGGCTTTTATAGCACTCATGTCCTAGCTTTGACCTATGCTTTGCAGTCCCCTCCCAGACCATGTGACTGTGAACCAGGAGCAAGGCCTTTGAAGGAAGCAAGTTAAAAGTCAGGTCCTAGCTCTCAGTAATGAAGATAGCTCAAAAGGGATCTCCAGCGACCAGGTGTAAGGAAGTGTTGACTGATTTTTAATCAGGCCAAGAAATCAGCCTAGATTCGCCTCCCTATCCCGCATCTGTCATCAGGTTGTTAGCCCCCAAGAAAACTTACAAGATTAAGGTAAACATAAAATAACAGCTTTATCTATAACACAATAGTTAAAACAGTAATAAAGGGATAAATACTAAGGACTTCCAAACTATAACTATAGAGGACCAAATACAAACCCAGCTGTGGCTGTAACAAGCAGAGGCTTAAAGCCCTGGCCCAAAACTATATACAGGACAGGTGATCGGAGCCTAGATGTCTTTTTACCATGTCTTGCAGCTTGGTTACAGATGCCCACCAACACGACAGGACAGAGCACTAGACGCAGGCGGTGACAACAGGCTCCTGAGGCTGGGACCTCCAGACAGGTAAGCTGACAACTCTGTTCTTCTCTTCACAGACCTTCCTCCCTGCACCGTCGTGTCTGTGAGTGAACTGGAACCAAAGGACAGCAGATGGATGGCTATCCTCGCATACAGGTATGTACCCTACCCCAGCAACCCTTACTGTGGTACCTGTCTGCCTCTCAGATGGGCAGCCCTGTTGGACTGGAGGGCTGGACTTTTATACTACCTTGTTCCTAGGCAGATTACCAGTCACGTGGCCTGCCTCTTTTCCTGCCTTTAGCAAAAAGGGTGCCCAAGGCTGGGGAAGAAGGGCACCAAATATGGATTCCCAACAACAACTAAGGGAAATCCAAGATGGCTATGTGGGGATAACTGTAAACGTTGAAAAATAAAGAAAGTTCTCCTACAGAAGGACTGGCAATGAGCTTGAGCAAGTCCTGGGGAGGGTCAGCAGCAGAGTCCCTGAGCGACAGCGGGCTGGGGAAATGCTTTGGGTGCTGGGGTGGGGATGGAGCCCATGAGTGGCTTGGCTAAAGAGACCTGAGGAAGGTCAAGGAGGAGATGAGCAACATAAGCAGTGGCCAAGGGGAAAGTGAAGCTGGAGTATTTGAGTAACCGGGACAGTTGCTTCCTGAGCCCAGTGTGGAGGGAGGGACTCAGCTCCCCCATACCTCAGTTGTGCCACCTGGAGGGATGAGCTGCAGCTAAGTGGTAAAGGCCTTATGACAGGGTGCAAGCTCAGTCCTCAGAGGGTTAATGTAGCAGATGCCAGGAGTAAGGACCTGAAGTTAAACTGCTTACCTGCTCCATTACCCCAGGTAGTCTAATGAGTGCATCTGGGCCCCAGCTGAGTTGCCTCATTGGCCTAATTCTCTGATTGGCTGAGGGGATCAGCAGACTTGCTCTGAAGACTGCAGCAGGTGAGTACTAGCTGCTCAAAGCATTTGTCCATGGCTATGATACCTCCTGCCTTGCTACAGGTAATCAGGTTCTGACCCCTAATGTCTGACTCTAGCTCTGACCTCTAAGTCTGGCTCTGACCCTGGATGCCTATTCCTGGCTACTGACTCCTGCTCCAACCACTGTGACTGCCCATGTCCCAGTCCCTGACAATTAACTCTGGCCTGTTAGAGGGAGGAGGGGAAATATAAAAGGCTGCCTGGGAGGTAGTAAGGGGAAGAAAGCTGGGTGTGAGTCGGAGGATAGCTTACAGTTCTGCATAATTGTAGAGACTGTTGCTGCCTTTGTTTTGTTAGTGTTACTACTTTTCTGTTGGCAGTCTGTCTAAGTTCCCATATTGGTGGCCCTGCCAAGAAGGGTCCACAACTGCCTGACTGTTTTATTTAGTGCTGGGAGATCAGTGTGTCAGCCCACAGGCCTCTGCCAGAAAGTGAAATGGTCAAGACCCCAGAGCAGGCAAAGGACCTCCCCTACACCAAGGGGAGAAAATTTGTTGTGTAGGGTTGGACTTTTGACTGCTCTGTAAGGGGAAGACTTTTGCTTTGATCAGAGGGCCAAAGCACTAAGTCATTAAGCCACCACAAGGAGATGGTAGACCACGGCTGGGAAACTGAGGCACATAACCATCCAGACAGCAGAGGGAAGCTGTTCCTTCACAGGGTCCCTTCACCTGTACCTTACTACATCCTTCATTGTTTGCGAGAACTATCCCACATCTTGCCTGCTTTACAACATTTGACTGTGCTGGAAGGAACACAAGTGAGTGAGTAGCTGGCCACAGTACCCTATGTGTTCAATATTTTGTCAGCTAACTCGAGTGTAACAAATTCTGCAGATAATCTGGGAAGTCACAGGTTAAGGGTCAAGAGCTCCTAAGTGACTACAGATAGGATTCAGAACTTTAAACTATCAAATTGTTTTTGATTTTGTATAGCATATATAAGGGAATTAAGATGTGACCGATGTGAGATGTTGGAATTGTGGAAATGTCAAAAATCTGTTATACTGAGGTGTGCCAGATGCTATCGTAGGCAATGGGATTATTCCTATACATGTAACACTTAGATACCGGTGTGCATAGGGATTGTATTCTAGCTCCATGGGAAATGGTCACTGAGCTTCCACCAGGAACTAAAATCTGTGGGGTGTAAATTACTGCAAATTCTGGGACAGATAAACAACTCTGGGGAATTTCCTCATAGCCCGTGGGAATTGCCTATACAGGTTCAGATTAGGTTCAAGAGGCCCAGCAAACAAAGAAAGGGCTCTTGGTATAAATGGTCAGCCTGAACTGGCAGGGGGACCCTCATTTGATCCTCAAACTGACATGAAATTGTAACCAAGAGGGTGAAACTCTTTGGGAAGGGCTTAAAGGATAGGTAACTTGCCAGGGTCTCCAAGTGGAACACAGGTGACATGTTTCTCTTTGGTTCCAGGATGCGCACACACACCTGCTTTCTCTCTCATTCCTTAAAGAGGCTTTGGAATTTGTGCCTTCAGTGAAAAGCTTCTGGGCTCTAAGCATGTGCTCACTGGGCTGACTCTTATGTCCTGAAACTGGGTATGTCTATGTCTCAGTAGATAAGAGATCAGGAGTTGCGATATCCCTTAGGGAATTCATTTTCAAATACAAGTGAAAGCCCATTTCTTTTTGGTTTAGAAGCTCTAATACCTGTAATGAGAGAGGTTCTGGGACATTAACAGCTGCAGTAATCACAGATGTGTTGTCTGTGAGTCTCCAAGTTTGTTCTTGTCATGTTATTGAAGGGGAGCTTTGTTTTCAAGTAAGTTAACATGTGTCTCCCTTAAGTTAACTAGTGTGAATCACTCCAAAATCAATTCTCATTAGTTTATTAGGAAGAAATGCCCCTCACAGGCAGCGTGGAATGAGGAAATAGAAAGCACAAGTTCCCATTTGTGCTCACAAATGCCACAGCTGCAATGTCTTTAAAAGCACATCCATTTTATTTCAATATAAACAGAACGAAGCACTTCTTGTCAGTGTCACGGAGCTGGCAGTGGATCTTGTTGCATCCTCTGTGTGGTTCCCAACCTGGTAAATAAAACTTCCATGAAACCTCAGTTGCATCCTCCGTATGTTTTGTCTCTGCACCAAACTCTCAATATGACCATGCGGACGTAGCGTGTTCTGTAATGATCGTGCTGAAGTGTATTGAGACAGAAATGTAAGGCTCATGAAGGCATTTCATTGGAAAATGGTAAACGGGCATGGGTTTGCATCAGACTGCAAAATGCTGGTACTGACATAGCCCAGGGCATGGTAGGGCAAGAACAATATGGGCCTGGTTCCAGATACTAAATCTGTTTGAGTCACTTTCTGCCTGGCTTTCCCCTCCCTTCTCTATAGGGAAAAAATTGCATCAAGTCAAACACACACTCGCACTCCTGCCCTTCGCTGGAAGATGGTGTGGGCTGGATATAATGGGTTTGGAAGTGAAATTCTAGCAGTGTCCCTACACTGTACCTTGTCTGAGTGAGAGACACTAAATGGGAAGGATTCTTCTATCAGCCTGTGGTGGGGTGTTCACCTACACTTGCCCTGAAAGGGTTAATGCAGACTGAGAAGGGGGCTACTTAACCAGACAGGGCACAGCTGAGGAGAATCACATGACTAAGCAATCCCCTGACTGGGTGAGGGAGCCCAGCTGAGGAGGAACAAGCTGGATTTATAAAGCCAGGAAATTGGAAGCAGAGGGGGCTGCTGGGAAAGTCTGCAGTTACTCCCTGGGAGAAGGGAGGAGTGTTTGGTGGCTGCAGAGACATATAGCCTGCAGTTACTCTCTGGGAGGAGGGAGTTGGGAGGCTGGCAGACCAAGCGAGGGGGTGTGCCAGATAGCAAGGAAAGGGTTCAGGGAAAGGCAGTAAGGTCTAGGAGGGAGCAGACCTTGGCTGCTGATTAGAGGGTCCCTGAGCCAGAAAGTGGAGTAGAGGGCAGGTCTGGGTTCACCTGCCAGCTGCTGAGGAAGTGGCACTATGAGGCAGTGAATGGAAAGATTGCTTAGGATTGTAGAAGAAAGACCTTTGTACCGAGGATGGAGAAAACATGCACAGTGACCTGGCCGGAGGGCCAAGTCGCAAAGAGGTGGCAGCAGCTCGTGGAGCAAGAGAGGTGCTGTAGACTAAGAAAGAGGGACAGAGAGATGGCATGCAACCGTGGGAAGGGGTGTCAGCCTCCTGAAGCTAACCCCCAGAATGGCCAGGAGGAGATGCTGGCCCAGTGCTGAGTACAGCACCCTGTCACACCGCTGCACATTCTTTTCCCACCCAATCAAGAACTGAAGGACAAATACAATTATTCAGCTATGAATTCACCTTTTTAGCTTTAAAGATATGAACTGAAAAGACCCTGTGTATGTTTTGGATTGAATGATTGCAGGTGGGAGAAGGTAAAGCTATGGCTGTTGATGAATATGGTGAAGATTATTTTCAGAGCGTTTCATAGCCTTGCAGATGGTTCATATGAAATGACCACTGCAAAGTCGATCTCCTCCCCTTCCCCGGATACAAGGAAACTTTTTCAGGGGACAGTCTATTGCCCCTCTGGTCAGGGCAGTAGTTAACTCTCGGGATTGGCAGCGCATTGCATAGTAGCTAGCTAATTGTCAGCAAAACGATACAGGTTGGTAGTGACTAAAAGTTACAATCTGATGGCTGTGAGGTGGCCTATGATAAATGAGTTTGATTTCAGCTCCCTGAGGCTCCTCGAAGGAGTGACTAACTACACAAAGTGCACAACAATGGAGAGCCAGGCCTGCAGTAGCTAGTACAACACCAAAAGGGCTTGTAAAGGATGCCTTTCTAAATTGCAACAGTAGCAGTTGTTCCCCCCCCCTTCCCCCATCTCAGATGGGAGGGGTGAATTGGGCTAATTGCATGTTAAAAGCACCTACTGTGGATTTGCTTTGGGGTGTGTCCGGGATATCCTTGGTTCATATAATACCTGTGGATTCCATCATGTCCTGTGCAGCACTGACTCTAGGAAATTTCCCCCATCCTCCCCTGTGAAACTTTGGGCATAGCTTGCAAAGGAAATACTAGTTTTCTTTATGGACCATTCCTGTGTGTGCTGTGGTAGCCCATGTTCTGGAGGCTGATGGTTACTGAGTGGCTGTACCATTCACTAGGGAATATCAGAGTCACAATATGAACATGTGATATCCATAATATTACATAATGATCCTGCTGGCAGGTAATATCTGAGCAGACAAATCATCACTGTGCTATTCTCTGGTACCGATGATGCATGTGGCCTCAAGATTACATCAGGCTAGAGAGTGCTGCCAATCAAACGGCCCACGCAATTCTACTGGTCCAGTGCCAAGCATGAAGTCTGGCTGAGTCAACTTCTTGCTTGGTATTTTTTCCTCCCCACATGTGGGAAAAGACAAGCTCATTGCAGCCTCATCTATGCTGGATGCTCCACTTCACACCTCTCAGCTGCAGTCTGCCTTGGAAACACTTCAGTCAAGTGTGAAACCCAGCTTGGTATAGATTGCTCTGCTGAGCAGGGGCTCCCTCCTGCTGCCTGTGCTTGTTATAAAATGCCACTCTGACTTTAAAAAGAGATGTGAGCCGCTATCCTCCAAGCCCTGGGGGGAATGATTAATCTGTGCACGTGTACAGCGCCCTTTCTTCAAGATTCTTGCACCCTAACTAAGGGTATGTCTACACTACGAAATTAGGTTGAATTTATAGAAGCCGGTTTTATAGAAATCGGTTTTATACAGTCAACTGTGTGTCCCCCCCACATAAAATGCTCTAAGTGCATTAAGTTGGCGGACTGCGTCCACAGTACCGAGTCTAAGGTCGACTTCCGGAACGTTGCACTGTGGGTAGCTATCCCACAGTTCCCGCAGTCTCCGCCACCCATTGGAATTCTGGGTTGAGATCCCAATGCTTGATAATGCAAAAACAGTGTCGCTTACCTGGGTTACCTGTC